CACACTTGCGAGATACACCTGCCGTCCGAGCAACACGAGATTTCATTCGACATCGGCCTCTACACAGACAACTTGGCGCGTGCCCAGCGAGAAGGAGATCCACGTCCTGGCCAGCAGCATGGCGGTCACCGCGCGCTCGACCAAGCATCAGCAGTCGGAGCACATCGGCGGCAAGGGCAACAAGACGAAAGTGCGAGAGGGCGAGGGCGCCGCGGCGGGCGAGGTCGCGGTCACGGGAGACACACAGGAGAAGCGCGACGCAGGACCAGCCGCGGCAGCCATAGCAGGCCAACGCCTTCAGCGCCACCCGCGAGGAGGAGAGGCCAACCAGACGAGGTGCGACCTCCAGCTCCAGCAGTACCCCACAGTCCTCATAAAGCAGGCGTACATGCAGCAGCTGGCCTGCGTGGAGGCAGCAGTTTACAGCACGTACCTCATGTCCTCGCAGATCAAGATGATCAAATCTTCGAGGGCTCGCAGGAAGATCTACGCGGAAATGTGCAGGGAGGCGGGCAAGGGACATACTTTCGGGCCGCCCGAGGGTCACATGTACCTCACACATATCTCGACCCTCTGCGCCGTGGAAGGGGGGGGCAAGACCAGGAACATTCTGACGGTGCAAAGGAAGTCCGCGGATACCACCGGCGCAGCGACGGTCCTCAACAACCTCAAGCACCAGAAGACCAGCAATGTTATCGACAGCAACCAAGCCAGGCTCACCATATACACCGAGAAGGCGGAAGCGGAGGAGGTTCCGTCCGTGCTCCAGCTGCAGCAGGCAATCATCAATGCCGCGCTACAGGCAGGAGCAACAGTGAAGACGGGCAAGCCACAGGCGGGAGTCAGAGAAGATGAACTGGCGGCGTGGCCCGCTGGGATGTGAAATAAGACGGGAGTGGCCGTCGACTACGCCTCGTTCGGCAAGTGACGGGCGCTGCGTGGCGCCGTGGTCGCAATGAAGGTGCCGCTCTGAGCGGCGACGGCGGGGGCCTATCCATACTGCTCATGCACTGCTCCGCCCCACAAGGCCGCTCTATCTATTTACCTCCTCCTCCTTCTCCCCCTCCTCCTCTCCCTCCTCCTCCCCCTCCTCCCCCTCCTCCTCCTCCTCCTCCTCCTCCTCCTCCTGCTCCTCCCCTCCTCATCCTCCTCCTCCTCCTCCTCCACCTCCCTCCTCCTCCTACTCCTCCTCCTCTCCTCCTCCTCCTCCTCCCCACCTCCTCCCTCCTCCTCCTCCCCTCCTCCTCCATCCTTCCTCCTCCTCCCTCCTCAACTCCTCCTCCTCCTTCCTCCTCCTCCCCTCCGCCTCTCCTTCCTCCTCACTCTCCTCCTCCTCCTCCTCCTCCTCACTCCCCACCGCCTCCTCCCTACACCTCCTCCTCCTCCTCCTCCTCCGCCTCCTCCCCTCCTCCCTCCTCCTCCTCCTCGTCCTCCTCCTCCTCCTACGCCCTCCTCCTCCTCCTCCTCCTCCTCCTCCTCCTCCTCTCCTCCTCCTCCTCCTCCTCCTCCTCCTCCTCCTCCTCCCTCTCCGACCTATGGTAGTGGTTTTTGACGGTCCCGAGGGCCAATAGGGGCCTCCAGAGGCCGAATTCTAGAAAAACCTTCCGTCGTAATTGTTCCCTGACTCGAGGGGGTCTGGCTCTGTGGACTCCTGCAGACGCCTCGACCCATCCCCAGTGGCCTTAGGTCGGGCCCGTCCCCCTACAGGGAGATCTTGGACTAAAAATTAAGGATAGTCAAAAATACACCAACATAAACAAAACATACTCAAAAATCGTCCCCAGACCTTTCTTTACTATTTTTGAACATTCCTCCTGTAGAGGGACAGGCCCGACTTAAGGCCACGGGGGAAGGGTCACCCAATGGGTTGAACACCCAATTGAACACCCACTGGGCTCGGGTTGAACACCCACTGGGCGTTAAACAGAAGATGTTCAGGCCGTCGCCGCGTTCGCCTGTGGGTGCCGAAAAGGCCAACACACCTGTCCTGCCTCCAACAAGCGATGCGATTTGAATTGGCTTGACACTCCGCCACCGTGCACCTCGGCACGTTGATGCGCGGTAGAATCCCAAGTGCTGCCTGTCAGGGACTCTGCAATCGTCTTTAGATGGGGTCGGAGCACATGGGGTCGGAGGATCGCGCTGCATCGCCGATACGTCGGCCATGCATCGGCGATGCATCGGCGATGCATCGGCGACATCGGTGACGCGTCGGCGACGTCGGTGTGGAGCAAATCTGGCTCCACATCGAGCTGCATCGACGGTGCATCGGCGATGCGGCGCGATCCTCCGAGCCCATCTACTCGGACCATATCTATAGAGAAAGAAAGAAAACAAACTTCAACTGTCGACGCTCCGCGCGGATTTCTCGGATCTGCGCTGGGACCCCCTCACTGGCGCGCGGAGCGCGCCGGGGAGGGGGTCTGGAGGCGCTGCCAAGGGACCCCAGCGCAGAGACGAGAAATCCGCGCGGAGCGCCGAACGTTTGATGTGTGTGTGTGTGTTTTTTCTCTTCGAATCCAGGATTCGGCGGGCCTGTCCCCCCACAGGAAGACTTTGGGCGAAACATTAAACATACTCCCAAAACAACTCCCAAGATGTTCAAAAATAGTCCCCTCCAAAAAAAGTCCCCTGCCTATTTGTTCGACTATTTTGAAACCTTCCTCCTGTAGAGGGACAGGCCCGACTGAAATCTAGGAGGCCCAGACAATCGTCTTCTGAAAGCACCTCCCCCCATCGTGGGACGCCCCGGGGGGCGCGTGCCACGCCGTCTCCCTCTGCTACAAGGTTTCCTGGGGGACCCCCGACGCCTCCGCGGCGCCCCCCAGGGGCGTCCCGGCGTTGCCCAAAGGATGCACACCTGGCACGCGCTGCGCGTGCCCGGACGTGGCGCACCTGGCGCGTCCGAGGCATGCGGCATGCGTGGTGCACGTGGAGCGCGTGGCACATCCAGGGCGCCAGGCGTGCCTGGCACGCGCGGGCCCCAGAGGTGCGTGGCGCACCTCGCCCGAGCGTCGCGCACACGGGGGTTGTTGTGGTTCCCAGTAGCTTCAGGTCGGGCCTGTCCCCCTACAGGGGGATTTTGGGCGAAAACTTAAGAACAGTCAGACAAATACCCCACGGCCAAGGCAGGCCACCAATGCCCGCCACGATGGCCGAATATGCCTTCCAGACACTCCGAGATCGCCCCGAGGCAGCCAAATATGGCCTCAAGACTGCCCAATTAAGAGGCCCCGCAGACGGGCCAAGAGGGCTCCAAGAGATCCCCAGAAGGGCTAAAGATGCTCAAATCATGCTCCTCGGGTGTTCGGCAGATTCGATTCCTCGTGTTTTCGGGCTTCCGTTAGCACAAGACGGCCCGAGAAGCTTGCACCAAGACGGCATAAGCGGGGCCCAAAATACTCTCAAGATGGCTCAGAAGGCCTCCAAGACGGCCCCAAGACGGCCCGAGAGACCCCAATGACAACTCTTCAGTTGGCGACGAGCGAGGGGGGGAAATGAGAAGGAGAAGGCCTTCTCAGAAGGCTCGGAAGTCCCTTGGCCTTCTGAGAAGTTATCTCAAGCTTTCCCGAAGATAAAGACAACTTCTCACAAGGCGCGAGGGCTTCTGAGAAGTCCCGCCGCCTTCTGAGAAGGCGTTCCCCCCTCGTTCGCCGCCGATTCAGGGCCCAAAGAAGGTCCACTACGGCCCAGGAGAGGACCCAGGCCGGACTCCGCATGCGCCAGACGGGCTCAAGAGCGCCCTGGGACGGCCCAGGAAGCACGCAGGATAGCCCGAGACGCCCCCAAGACGCTCCCTGCTCCCAAAAGGCCCCAAGAGAGGAAGAGGGACGAACAGGAAGGGAGGAAGAGAGGGGACAGCAAGGGCCCCCCCCAAGGGGCCCCAAGGTTCCCATCCTCCTCTCTTGGGGCACCAAAGGGGCCCCGAGAGAAAAGAAAGGAACAACAAATCACCGATACTGTTACTCCCTGGACATCGCCCCGGGGTGCCTTCTGACCAGAATCTCGATGGGAATCTTGGGCGAACGAGCTCTCCAGGACGAGCGGCATTATCGGTCCCTCTTCCTCCTCTGATAGGCAGCGACGAGCACGAGGAGAGGCACCCCGACACGGCGTGGGAGGGCGTGCCACATCTCACGACCTTCCCAGGCCTCGGCGGGACCTCAGCACGCTGCCGCTTCCTGCGCGCTCCGCTCGCCACCCAGAGCGAAGAGTGCTGGGCTGGCACGGTGGCGGGACTGGCCGCTGGCAGCCGGACAGCAGCAGCAGAAGAGCTCAGCATCGGGCCCGAGAAGTGGCTCGTGCGTTTGTCACCGCATACGAGCGCGACGCGCGGAGAGGTCTGGCGTGCCGCAGTGGACATGCTCATCCACACCACGAGGCCCGAAATCCGAAAGCCAGGCTTGCGCAGCACCGGAGCATGGGCGTGTTCCCTGACTCGTTGGATTGGCGATCATGTGGGTAACAGCGTCGCTGGTAGACCGTAGTCGCGGAAGAATGCGGGCGACAATGAGGCCGACAGAACTTGATCATCGCAGCACACTTGGAACGATGGTGCCTGCATGCGGCATCCCGAGATGGGGCTGCATCCATTCGTCGAGCATGCCATCCCTCCTGTGATCTTGGCCAGCCTCGACGGCACAGTGATGAGCCCGTTCGACAAGAGCCTCCGTGCGTCTGCCAGTCAACCTGCATCAGAACTGGCCAGCTTGATTACTCGCTCCACTGTTGGTTTCGAACGCCAAGCTTCATCACCACATTTCGGGTGTTGCTAGAAGTACCCCTGGCACACGATGCCCACAGGATTCTCGGGGTGGCTCGGGCGGCCTCCAGGGCACCCCTCACGAGGCCCGGAGGACCCCGGGGAGCGAAAAGCTGGGGGCACCTTGGACCAGGGGCACTTCTAGCAACACCCGAACATTGGTGTGCCGCGATTGGTGCATCCTGTTTCTCCCCCGCCCGCGGAAAGAGAGCACAAGGACAAGAAAGACGAGCTTCGCCTCCGTCGCTATCGCCGGCACGACCTTCTCGAGCTTCTGGCTGGCTGCTTTCTGCGCGGTTTCCAGCTGATCGCTGGCCGCCTTCTGATGGACAAGCGCGTTCCACTATACCCACAGGGCAGCTACTCGCAGACGGCCTGCATCCGCCGCGAGGGGTTTACGAGCCATCACATCGACGCGACTCTGTGTTCTTCGGACGTGTGCGAGTGGGCACTCGGCGAGTCGTGGAACGCGCTCGGTGATTTCGGGGGCGGCCAAGAGGGGGGGGTCCAGGAGGGGGGGCGCAAATCGTGGCCGGCGGCATGTGCGCGGCCCAGGGGGGAGGGGGGCTGGGGACGTAATGAAACAAGAAGAGGCGCCATAACGTCTGGGAATACATCATGGCCCACGCCATGATATATCCCCCCCCTAGCCTTAGGTCGGGCGTGTCCCCCCTACAGGCGGATTCTGGACGAAGAATTGACAATATCCAAAACATACTCCAACAACATTCAAAAATAGCAGAAAAATCGTCCCCTGACTACTTTGGGCTATTTTTGAACATTCCTCCTGAAGATCGACAAGCCCGACTTGAACGCAACGAAATAAGAAGAGGCGCCATAACATCTTGGGAAACCTCATGGCCCACGTCGTGATACCCACCCCCCCTGGTCATCACCTCCTCTTTGCTGGGACGCACAGGGACATACTGATACTACATGTCGCCCTTGGAGGCGCGCGCCCGACCCGAACCATATAGAAGACCCGTCTTGTAGTGGAGCGTTTCCAGAGCGGCGTGGCCAGAAGGAGCCCGCCACGACGCACGTACTGCAAGACTTCTCCGGGCGCGCGTCGCCCCGCGCGTCGCCCCCAAGGGGGGCGACGCACACACAGTGTGAGTACAGTCGGACTTGATTGGAGAGGACACGCGAGAGGACACGAGACCCTTCCGGGGGCCACGTTGCCACAGGAATGCGGGAGGCATGGGTCGCACGGCACAGGACACGAGGGTGCCCTTGAGCAGGCAGGGTGGACCTAGTGATCCGGGCCGGCTGTCTGAGCCTGCTGGGGTGACGCCGACTTTGCCGCCCCGCGTGACTTTCTGCGCGGTCTCGAGCTGCTCGCCGGCCGCCTTCGTGGCGCTGCCCACCGCCGCGTCGAGCTTGGACTGGGGGGGCCGGGGAGCGGGGGAGGAGGAAAAGGAGGAGGAGGGAGGAGGAGGAAGGAGGAGGAGGAAGGAGGAGGAGGGGGAGGGAGGAGAGAGGACGACAAGGGCAAGGAGGAGGAGGAGGCGGACGGCAAGGGCAATGAAGGTCGGCGGCGATCCAGGGTGCGGGACGTGTGAAGGAAAAGACCGTCTCAGAAGGCAGCGGGACTTGTCAGAAGCCCTCGCTTCTGGAGAAGTTGTCTGTGTTTTCGGGGAAGGCTTCGAAACTTCTCTCAAAGCCCTCCTCCTCCTCCTCCTCCTCCTCCTTGCCCTTGCCCTTGCCCTTGCCCTTGCATTCTTCCTCCTCCTCTTCTTCCTCCTCCTCCTCCTTCTGAGAAGGCCTTATCCTTCTCACGTGCCCCCCCCGGATCGCCGCCGCAGCAGCAGCAGGAGGATGGCCAGGAGAGTAGCAGCAAGAGGGGCGGAGGCACGAAAACAGGGGAGGAGGAGGAAAGAGGATGGGCGCAGGGATTCCAAATAGGAGGAGGAGGAGGAGGAGGAGGAGGAGGTGGAGAGGAGGAGGAGGAGGAGAAGAGGAGGGGAGGAGGAAGAAGGGAGAGGAGAGAGAGGAGGAGGAGGAGGAGGAGGGAGGAGGAGGGAGGAGGGAGGAGGAGGAGGAGGAAGAGGAGGAGGAGGAGGTGGTGAAGCATGAGGGGGGTTCCACGTTCCAGTTCGTTCCTGGTGGCGCCAGTGTTGGCTCGGAAACGCGCCATGCTACCCAGAGTCGCAGGCAGCAGGACTCGGACGGGGAACAGCACAAGGAGGAGGGCGAGGGAGGCACGATGAGGAAGGGGGCGATGGTGCATCTGAAGCTGAGGTTGACGATTGATGAGGGCGCCGTCTTGCCTTGAACTCAAGCGCAACGAAGTGATACATCGGCACCAGCCAGTACAACCCGAGAAATGTTGAAGACGTTGAAGCATGTGACCGTTTCACTGGTGGAACTAGTAATGCTTGAAAATCCATGATTCTTTCTGCTCTATACTTATTACATCGCAGATACATGCACCGAGTCGCACTGTAGGCTGGTCGCCCAGGCATTACGGTCAAGAACTCGTTCTTAGGGTGTCGCGGCGGCGGCCCAAGCGACACTCCGCTCCGCAGGGCGGACAGCTGGGAACGGCTCAAGACGTTGACGCCTGGGGACTGGGACGTGATTGGCGAGTCGCGCCGAAGCGTGGTGGGCAAGAACCCGGCGAGGCGACACGCTAAGCCGAGGCTCCTGACCGGACCTGGAGACACCAAAAGGTACCGATACCGCTACTCCCCAGACCACTCCAGGGATGCGTTCTGCCCGGGATTGCAAAGCGAATCTAGCCGTGGCAGCGAAGGCCTCCCAGGGAGCAGAAGAGAACGACAACGAGGGAAACGTAGCGTTGTCCGCGCCCTTTCCCCCTCTGAGCTGGGCCAAAGTTCCTGACCGTGCCCCCCTCCTGAGCTGAGCCAGAAAAAGCGAGTCGAAAGCTTGACACGGAGAAAGTATGGGACGCACAGAAACATACTAATACTACTACATGTCCTCCTTGGAGGCGCGCGTCCGACCCGAACATATAGTAAACCCATCTTGTAGCATGTCGTTTCCCGAGCGGTGTGGCCAGAAAGCGCCCGCCACGACGCATATACTACAAAATTTCTCGGCGCGCGCGTCGCCCCTGGGGGGGGGGCGACGCACCCGGTACGCCCCGAAGCTCCTACGGCAGAGGGCCCCGAGGTTCTCCCGCAACGGAGGGCCTCCCACGGCGCGGGAGAAAAGCCGAGGGCGTGTGCCGACGTCTGCGAGCTGGATTCCTGCACCCGCCTTTAGGTCGGGCGTGTCCCCATAGAGGCGCATTTTGGACGAAAAATAATAAGTACGCAAAAACCGTCCCCGGACTGTGCTCGGATACTTTTTGAATATTCCTCCTGCAGAGGGACAGGCCCGATTGAAACCTACCTGCCACCGGCCAAGGAGGTGCTAGACTCTGCGAAGGTGAACCCTCCTGCAGCCGCACCCCTGCTCGAGGAGGAGGAGGAGGAGGAGGAGGAGGAGGAGGAGGAGGAGGAGGAGGAGGAGGAGGAGGAGGAGGAGGAGGAGGAGGGAGGGAGGGAGGGAGGGAGGGAGGGAGGGAGTGAGGTAGGAGGAGGAGGAGAGGAGGAGGGAGGGAGGAGGGAGGAGTGAGGAGGAGGAGGAGGAGGAGGACCAGGCGCCCGCCCAGGTCGGCCCGCGACCGCCACGCTTCTCGGGCCGCCTGTGGGTCGCCGGTCTGTGGCAGAGGAGGAGGACGAGGAGGAGGAGGAGGAGGACGTCGGAGAGGAGGAGGAGGAGGAGGAGGAGGAGGAGGAGGAGGAGGACGTCGGAGAGGATGATGATGAGGAGGAGGAGGAGGAGGAGGAGGAGGAGGAGGAAGACTAGGACGAGGACGAGGAGGAGGAGGAGGAGGAGGTGGAAGATACAGAGCAGCAAGCGCCCTGCACAGGCCGAGGGAGAGCCCGGAGGCCATCACCGTGGCCACGTCGAGCGACAGGCCTGCGTGGACAGAGGCCCGCGTGACGTGCCACAGGCCGTTCGCCAGAGAGGCTGCAGGAGCCCATGGCACGTCACGCTGACCTCTGTCCACGTCCCGCGGACCTTTGGCCACGTCGCGCTGTCCGCTGTCTCGAGAACCGCCGTGCGGCCCGCGAGAGGTCAGCACCACGGGGCGAACACGGGGCCCGCGGACGAGGGCCTCGCGGAGGCATGCGCTTCGGAGGTGCGAGGCCACCGCGACGTGACCGAGCACGGCTCGAGGAGGCTGAGGGCCGCTGTCGAGCCAGCGTGCTGAGCAAAGAAGACGTCCAGCGGCAGGGATGTGCGGTCTGAACCCGTGGAGATAATGTTAGATCGGGCATGTCCCCGCACGGGCGGATTTTGGGCGAAAAATACATATATCCAACCAACAATATCCAAAATTATCCCAGTGCGACCCTACCTAGGAGTTGGAGCATTTAGGAAAGCAACATCTACATCTACACCGACAGCTACAGTTACATCTACACCTGCATCTACATCTACATCTACAAGAGCTGCAGGCAGTTCAACACTGCAGGTCCGGCTGTGCGTTGCTTGTGTGTTGCTTTGCTGCTGCTGCTGTTGGTTTGTATGTGATGTGCTGCTATACTATGCTATGATATGTTATGCTATGCTATATTGCGCTATGGTATGATATGCTATGTTATGTGTTGCTATGCTGCGCTATGCTGCGCTATGCTATGCTATGTTATGCTAGGGTACGCTCGGCTGCGCTGTGTTATGCTAGGCTATGCTATGCCATACCATGATGTGCTATGATATGATATGCTATGCTATGCTATGCGTTGTTATGCTATGTTATGATATGATATGCTGCGCTATGATATGCTGTGCTGTGCTATGCTATGCTGCGCTATGCTATGGTATACCAGGCTATGCTATGGTATAACATACTGCACTATGCTATGCTATGCAATGATATGCTATGCTATGCTATGCTGCACTATGCTATGCTATGCTATGATATGCTGTGCTATGGTATGATATGCTATGCTGCGCTGTGCGACGCTATCCTATGCTATGCTATGCTATGCGATGCTGCGCTATGTTATGCTATGCTATGCTATGCCATGCTATGCTGAGCTATGCTGAGCTATGCTATGCTATGCTATGCTATGCTGTGCTAATGCCGTGCAAATGCTGCGCTGCGCTATGCTGCGCTGCGCTAAGCTAAGCTAAGGTAAGCTAAGCTATGCTAAGCTAAGCTAAGCTAAGCTAGGCTAGGCTCTGCTAAGCTAAGCTAAGCTAAGCCAAGCTAAGCTAAGCTAAGCTAAGCGAAGCGAAGCTAAGCGAAGCTAAGCTAAGATGATATAAGCTAAGCTAAGCTAAGCTAAGCTAAGATAAGCTAAGTTAAGCTAGGCAAGGCAAAGTTAAGCTAAGTTAAGCTAAGCTAAGATGAGATAAGCTAAGCTAAGCTAAGCTACGCTAAGCTTAGCTAAGCTGGGTGAACCCAGGGGGCGCAACTGGGGGAACCGCGGGGCGGGGACTGGGGGAACCGCCCGGGGCGTTTTACACTGCCCGGCCCCTTTAAGCAAACAAAGTAAGAACCCTTCTAGGCAGAGCCTAGGTGCGGAATCAGCTAAGCTAAGATGAGATAAGCAATGCTAAGCTAAAGGAACGTCACTGGGGGAACCGCGGGGCGGATCCTGGGGGAACCGCCCGGGGCGTGGAACACTGCCCGGCCCTTTAAGCCAACACGGTAAGAACCCTTCTAGGCAGAGCCTAGGTAGGGAATAGTTGACAAATCGTCCCCAGACTTTTTGTGGTACTATTTTTGAAAATTCCTCCTGTAGAGGGACACGCCCGACTTCAGGAGAATGATCGAAGGGCTCGCCGTCCCCAAGCGAGGCAGCTCCTCACCGCCTGGCATACTCAGCCGCAACCACTGCTGCTGGGCACCTGGGGTTCTGATGATGGCGCGCCGGTCGAAGACCTCGTCCGCTTGTGGCGCCGCCTGGTGGCGCCATACTGGAGGGGCCCAGGGACACACAAATAAATAGACACAAATCCACAGATTCCCAATATTTCCCGGTATCTTCTCATATTTTCTGGGTTTTCGTCTTCCCCCCCACTTCCCATATTTTCACATATGTTCCTGGGAATCGACGATTAAGTGTGCCTATGTGTTCTTGTTTCCATCCTGACATACGAGCGCAGGTGGTCAGGCAGAGTCTGACACAAGGCTGTAACGCACAGCTGCTGCTGAGCCTGGTACCAGGAGACGCCGACGTGGTGAAGAAAACGATTGCCACGCAGTTTGTCGCCTAGTGCGCGCTGGTGCGCATACGCCAGCTCCTCCCGAGGCGTCTGGATCGGAGGCAGTGCGGCCATCGTCTGCAAGTGTGTGACTGCGTGTAGCTGTGAATGACTGCGTGTGAGTACGTGTATGTGTGCGTGTGTGCACAAAGGGAGTTTCGGCACAGGGAGTAATATGGAAGAGGCCAGCAGTTCTGCCTGAGGATAAAAAACAGCTGCGGAGAAAGAAAGCGATAACGGTTCATGTTGCGACACCGGGCCGTAAGCGGCTCAGCCTTCAGCGATTTGGAACTGATGCCAAGAAACCACGCAGGTCAGACCGTAGCATCGATTGCAGGGCGCGGCCAAATAACCCTTAACAAGCGAAAGCGTTCACATGAATACGAGCTTCTGCGTTCGGTGCGAGAGATGCGTGCGAGAGCAAACTCTTCGTGAGGCCCCGAGCGCAAGGCCTGCATCTGCGAGAGGAAGTCTGTCTGGCTCTTCGTGACCTCTTTCACCTCCGTGGGGCAAATCGACTGAGAGGTATAGGGGGAGAGAGAGAGAGAGAGAAAAAACAAAAAAAGAGGCAGAGAGAATAAAGAGAGAAAACAAAAGAACTAACAAATAAGGAAAGACATGCAGGTATGATTGAACAAGTGGATCACATATAGACAGGGAGGAGAGAGATAAAGAGAGAGAGAGAGAGGGGGGGGGGAGCGGGGGCAGGGGAACGAATGGGAAAATAGAAAGAGAAAGGGAGAGAGAGAGGACTGAAGTGTCGATGTCGTCTGGACGGACAGGACCACTGCTGAAATACTCTCCACAATCGGAGTCAGAGAGAGAGAGAGGGAGAGAGAGAAAGAGAGAGAGAGAGGGAGGGAGGGGGGGAGGACGGAAAGAAGGGAGGGAGTGACAAGGGAAAGGCGGGGAGAGAGCGAGAGAGCGAGAGAGCGGGGAACACTCTTATACTCGTACATAATTGCGTACATGCATATATGTACACATGTATATAATATCATACGCACCTCTCCGAATGAATAGAGCTCAACGGCGATTAGTTGGTCTTGTCCGCGATGTGTGTTCGCCATTTCGCTCAGGACATCCTCGACGCTCTGAACATCGGACGCACCCCTCACACAGATGGCGCCGTCACGGTCCACACACATGGCTTTTCTCAACCATGGTAACGCAAAATTTGCATCACCACAGTAGAACGCAATCAGTTTGACCCATCTCGGCGAAAGTTGCAGTTTCGCCTGAGACATCCTCCAAACATCCAGCCCCATGTTCAACACGAGTCTCTAAGCAAATGGTCGTTTCGCCTGAATTACCCTCTCAAAATCAAGCCCCGACGTACAAACCACACACACCAAACACAAAACAAATCATACGCATACACACACCACGAAACACACCACCCACACACTACACACAACAACTACAACACACAAAACGCACACACACACACACACACACACAACATATGCATCACACACATCACAAACAACACACAGGCACACACAACGCACACACCCAATACACCTAACACATATAACATGCAGGTTACACATGATGAAAGCAGACTTCGCACATAGCACACACAACACCCAGCACACGCACACAACACACATCACACATACCACACACTTCACACATCACATACAAACGCACACACACACACACACACACATCCTGCGCATGTGTTTGCATGATCCTGGGCACACACGTGCCACTTGTGTCGAAATATACGCTAATACCACGCGTGCGCTTCGTGCGCGGTCAGGTACTAGTGCGCAAGTCAGTGTAGCATGAGCAGGTGGGCAAGACAACGCATTCACAACGACTGAGTCGGGGGGATTACATTGCAGCATCGTGAACATGAACAAGTCCGAGTGGGGGGCCGAAGGGGTTTACACGCGCGCTTGGATGAGTTACTGACGCGCGTTGCTGCATAGTGTTGCGTAAGCATGCGAATCCAAAGTTCAAAGGGGAGGGGACGGAGGAAGATGCGCGCTTGGGGCCTCTGCGGGCTAAGGCCTCTGTGGGTGCGTTTGGGGCCTCAGTGGGGTGCGTCGGGGGGCTCCGTGGGCAGCGCGCGGGGGCCTCCGTGGGCGCGATCGGGGCCTCTGCGGGGTGGGGCCTCTGTGGGCGCGCGCGGGGCCTCTGTGGGCTGTGTCGGAGGCCTCGGTGGGCAGCGCGCGGGGGCCTCTGTGGGAACGCTCGGGGCCTCTGTGGGCTGGGGCTTCTGTGGGCGCGCGCGTGGCCTCTGTGCATGGGCGTTGTCGGGGGGCCTCAGTAGGCAGAGCGCTGGAAATTTTGTGGGCGCTCTTAGGGCCTGTGGGCTGGGGCCTCTGTGGGCGCGCTTGGGGCCTCTGTTGGCGCGTTTGGGCCTCTGTGGGCTGGGGCCTCTGTGGGCGCGCTGGGACCTCTGTGGGCTGTGCCGGAGGGCTTCATTGGGCAGCGTGCGGGGGCCTCGGCGCGCTTGACACCTCTGTAGGCAGGAGCCTCTGCGGGCGCGTGTTGGGCCTCTGTAGGAAGTCGGGGCCTCAGTGGGCAGCCCGCTGGGGCCTCCTTGGGCACGCTCGGGGCCTCTGTGGGCTGCGTCGGGGGCCTCAGTGGGCAGCGCGCGGGGACCTCCGTGGGCGCGCTTGGGGCCTCTGCGGACTGTGGGCGCGCTTGGAGCCTCTGTGGGCTGCGCCGCAGGGCCTCATGAGTGGGCAGCGCGCGGGGGCCTCTGCGGGCGCGCTCAGAGCCTCTGTGGGCTGGGGCCTCTGTGGGCTGTGTCGGGTGCCTTTGTGGAACGGGGGGCCTCCGTGGGCAGCGCGTTGGGGCCTATGTGGGCACGCTTGGGGCGGAGGTCTGGGCCTTTGTAGGCTGTGCCGAAGGGCCTCATTGGACAGCGCGCTGGGGCCTCTGTGAGCGCCCTTGGGCCTCTGTGGGCTGGAGCCTCTGTGGGCGTTGTCGGGGGCCTCAGTGGGCAGCGCGCTGGGCCTTCTGTGGGAGCGCTTGGGGCCTCTGTGGGCAGCGCGGGGGAGCCTCTGTTGGCGCGCTTGGAGCCTATGTGGGCTGTGCCGGAGGGCCTGCGGGCAGCATGCTACGGTCCCTGTGGGCTTACTCTCCTCAGTGGGCAGCGCGCCAGGACCTTGGTGGGCAAGGGCCTTTGCGAATACATCTTGAGGAAATATCGAACGGGAACCGTTGTCGTCGCATGTGTGCCTCCACCGATTTGGCTGAATCATGAGGAAATCTCGAGCGAGAGCGCCGTGCCTGAGTTCGGGGGCCTTCCTGGCCAGGGGCTCTCGGAGTAAATCGTGAGGAAGTATCGAGCAGGAGCCGTTGACGTCGTGGCTGGGCCCCCACCAACTTGATTGAATTGCGAGGAAGTCTCGAGCGAGAGCGCCGTTCCTGAGTTCGGAGGCCTCTCTGGCCAAGGTGCCTCGAAGTAAATTGTAAGGAAATATCGAGTGGGAGCCGTTGTTGTCGTAGCTGGGGCTCCAAAGGCGCACTTGTAGGGTCGAGTCAAGCCAACGCTCCAGCGGGAGCCTCGATTTCAGAGAAAACGTAGCTGGCGTCGAGGCGAGAGCGCCCAGAACCGCTGCCGGAGATCAGCAACAAAAAACTTTAGAAATTAGTAAACAACAACAGCGACAACAACAACAACAACAATCATTTTACCCTCATGCGCCATGCTTCCACATGACACATGCATCCATCTGGATAACACACCCCATCATGGGGGATTTTTCTGGCATGCGGGATCCGATATTCCCTCACCCAGATATCCCGCCCAAGAAGGTTTGGCCACCACCTCTTCCGAGGAACTTCAACATCCATAGCTCGGACGGCACATCGCCTTCGCAATCGCCTTGCGCATGCCCCGCATCTCAGAGGGAGAGGAAGAGGAAGAGGAGGGGGAGATGAGAGAGATAGGGAGGGGGAGGAGGAGAAGGGAGGGGGAGGAGGGGGAGGAAGGATGAGTAGTTGTAGTAGCAGCAGTTGATGATATTGTTGTTGCGGCTGTAGCACTAGTAGTAGTGGTAGCGGTAGTAGTAGTCCAAGTAAGTAGAACTGGCCTGTGGCAGCCAAGCGTTCATAGCGACGTTGCTTTTTGATCCTCCTTTAATGTCTTCTTTCCCTATCGCTGAGACGCAGAAGTCTCGAAAAGTTGGATGGTTCAGCACATCCAGGAAACCTATCGCTGGACCGGCCCAAATATGGTTCCAGAAGCGGCTCGGGAACCTGCGCAGGCGCCAGAAGCAGAGAAGCACCACGTACGGGCGCCGGCTCGGGCGTCCGGCCCAAAGCCGCTCCAGAATCGGCCCAGGACGGCTTCCTGGGCGCCGCAAGCAGAAATTCAGCATTTTCGAAAGAAAAATGTGTATTGGAATGGCCTCTTTTCGGCGCGATCGGAACTGCCCGGGCGTCCGGCCCGGGAGCTGGGCCGGGTGCCGGCCGGGCCGGGTGCCGGCCCGAGTTCCGGAATCGGTCCGGACGGCCTCCCGGGCGCCGGAAGCAGAAATTCAGCATTTTCGAAAGAAAAATGTGTATTGGAATGGCCTTTTTTCGGCGCCGCCTCGGAACTCGATTTTCCGGCGCCCGGGCGCCGGCTCGGGCGCCGACCCGGGCGTCCGGCCCGGGAGCCGAGCCGGGCGCAGGCCCGAGCTCCAGAATCGGCACGGACGGCCTCTCGGGCGCCGGAAGCAGAAATTCAGCATTCTCGAAAGAAAAATGTGTATTGGAATGGCGTTTTTTCGGCGCCGCCTCGGAACTCGATTTCCGGCGCCCGGGCGCCGGCTCGGGCGCCGACCCAGGCGTCCGGCCCGGGAGCCGGGCCGGGTGCCGGCCCGACCTCCGGAATCGGCCCGGACGGCCTCCCGGGCGCCGGAAGCAGAAATTCAGCATTTTCGAAAGAAAAATGTGTATTGGAATGGTGTTTTTTCGGCGCCGCCTCAGAACTCGATTTTCCGGCGCCCGGGCGCTGGCTCGGGCGCCGACCCGGGCGTCCGGCCCGGGAGCCGGGCCGGGTGCCGGCCCAGGCTCCGGAATCGGCCCGGACGGCCTCCCGGGCGCCGGAAGCAGAAATTCAGCATTTTCGAAAAAAAAGAAAAAAAAAATGTGTATTGAAATGGCCTTTTTTCGGCGCCGCCTCGAAACTCGATTTTCTGGCGCCCGGGCCGGCTCGGCCGACCCGGGCGTCCGGCCCGGGAGCCGGGCCGGGTGCCGGCCCGAGCTCCGGAATCGGCCCGGACGGCCTCCCGGGCGCCGGAAGCAGAAATTCAGCATTTTCGAAAGAAAAATGTGTATTGGAATGGCCTTTTTTCGGCGCCGCCTCGGAACTCGATTTTCCGGCGCCCGGGCGCCGGCTCGGGCGCCGACCCGGGCGTCCGGCCCGGGAGCCGCTCTCGGCGGCGAGCAAGAGCACCGAGCCCGAGTAAAAAAGGAGGAAGTCTCGAGCCGGAGCGTTGTTGTTGTTGGGGGGCCGGTTTTGGCGGAACCCCAAAACGCCTGAGCGTGAGCC